AGAGACGGGGTTTCACCATGTTGACCAGGATGGTCTCGATCTCTTGACCTCGTGATCCACCCGCCTCGGCCTCCCAAAGTGCTGGGATTACAGGCTTGAGCCACTGCGCCCGGCCTGGATCTCCAAAATTATTCTTATGTATTGGTTTTCTTGGCTCAAGTCTCTTATTTCCCTATACAGTAAATAATTTTGTCATCTGCCACAAAAGGTGACACTATTTCTATCATTCAAAGTTTGTGATGTGCATAAACATTCACAAAAGGACAGTCCTGACCAAAACCTGCACATGTCCTTGCCAATAAGACATGCACACATACAGATAACACACAGAACACTCTTTTCCACCAATACTCACCATTAACTGTATTCACCTTTGGCAAATTCTTCATAAGCAAATCATTCTGATTCATCAGATGCTGGAGGTAAAACCAGATACAATAAATTTTCTTCAAGCAAAGTTTGACTAAGACTACTGTCAATGAGATAGCATGCACCAGAATTAGACAATTCTGCTAAATATACCTCCCTCTGCCCACATAGGTACCAGCCTAAGAAACCCAATATTCATTAGAGTCTATCTTAGAAGGATGTGGCTTTTCCTTAATGTTTTCTATAGACTTTTCCCTAAGGTTTGTATAGACTTTTTGACTCTGATGTATGCATAAACAACTAACCATTATGAAAAAAACTTACAATTTACATCTTTCTTAGAAGATTAGGAATTTTTTTTTTTTTTTTGAGATAGAGTCTCACTCTGTCACCCACACTGGAGTGCAGTGGCATGATCTCTGCTCACTGCAACATCCACCTTCTGGGTTCAAGCAATTCTCTGCCTCAGCCTCCTGAGTAGCTGGGATTACAGGTGTCCGTCACCATGCCCAACTGCTTTTTGTATTTTTAGTACAGGTGGGGTTTCACCATGTTAGCCAGGCTGGTCTGGAACTCCTGACCTTGTGGTCTGCTTGCCTTGGCCTCCCAAAGTACTGGGATTACAGGTGTGAGCTACTGCGCCCAGCAGATTAGGGGGTTTTTTATTCTTTATCCAGACAAAGCAAGGCCCGGATACAGTGAAGTCACGGCTCATGAGCAGGAAGGAGCTGACAGTTGGAAAACACACAGAAATTAGGTCAGAGATATTCATCAACCACCAACTGAGATTATGAAAAAGAGCAACAAAAAATTTTAAAGATGGAGGAAAGGGTATAAAAGGATACAAAGGTGCTCACCAGAACAAGGACGCTTTTGGTGGCTCTGGACTTAGGGCAGCATCTGGAGGAAACATGAGTCCCATGAATATGTTGGAGCCACTGCTTGTGCCTATACAGGATGAAAATCATAGAGCCACTGGCCCAGATTATGAGCACAGAAAATATAACTTCAGGGAACACAATAAATGCTGTATAGACAGAGCCAGTGATTTTTCTCATTGTGTACAACAGAGAAGTATCCAAAATCTCTGTTCTTGTGATGTTTTTGCTGCCCCATTTACCTGACACATACAACCCACGCATAAGAAAAGGGAAATGAAGAAGTCAATATACTTTGGGGCTTTTACTTTGACATCCTTCCACCTGGAGTTCATAGGGCTGATCATGATGGTATAAAAGACACTCAAAAGGCAGGTGGTGCCAATGGACATTCCCCTACCCACTTTCTGAATATACAAAAGAAGTTTGCATCCAAAATCATTGAGGAAATGTTTCAACCCTAAGGCTACTATTGTCTGGGGGTTGTCCTTTAGAGAGGACCAAGGAGTTGGCTATAATCAGGTGCTGGAGAATCAAATCTGCAGACGTCGACCTGCATACAGTGTGGTAAAAGAAAAGATAGTAATAAAGAAGAGAAATTGCTCAGGATTCCAGCTGTAGTCTGTGGTAACAACATCACTCCTATTGCCACATTCCTGGAGGCTATTTTCTCATTCAGCACGTTTTCTTTTTCTTTCTTTTTTTTTTTTTTAAAGACAGGGTTTCACCATGTTGGTCAGGCTGGTCTTGAACTCCCGACCTCAGCTGATCCGCCCACCTTGGCCTCCAAAGTGCTTGGATTACAGGCGTGAGCTACCGCGCCTGGCCAGGACATTTTCCTTTAAATTATAGCAACAATCATTCTTCTGAGCAGAAAGCCTCATTGTAGAGTTTTGACACCAAGGATGACTTTGGTGGTGTGCTCTTGTGAGATTGCTAGAAATTTTATGAGGCAGGAGGAGTTGTAAGAAATTACCAGTATATTTCATGGGAAGTCAGCACTAACATAGGGAGTGTTACCCTAGGGCAGCAGTGACAAGTGAGAGCAAATGCAAAGAAAGCAGAGTCCAGTATTTTCACTCTAACCTGAAATTTATCCTGCTCATATTGAAAGAAAGAGAAACCTTAATCATTATGCACATCATGTAACAAATCAATTCTGAATAAGCTGCTCATCTCGAGATTAGGGACAAGTAATAAAAGTTTTAGGGGGAAAATGATATTTCTATCATCTCTGAATAAGGAAATACTTACAAAACAGAAAACACATTAACCATATGAATGAAATAA